ATTAATGTTCTTTAGAAATGAGTGTTTTCCATTTGTCTCTTTAGCCTAGAAATACTAGGGTCAGTAGATATTAGGGTAGGTCTGTTTATTTTTTATCTTTTGAACATGAGAGAATACGGAGGAAGAGAGGATATCGGGCGTTCGGCACCAAGTGGTCTAGTGGCACTTCTTTGTGGGAAAGTACCAGGCACCAAAGACCTGGGTTCTAACCGAGATCTTACTCCTTTTATTCAGAATTTTTCCAGGTCAAAAAAAGAAAGAAGATATAAGTTAAGCCAAAGTTCCTATTTGCACCCTCCATTTATTTTTTTTTCGTGGTTAACATCTTTCAAAATTTTTTTTCCCTATTCACACTCTCCACTTTTCAAAACCCGTGAAAAACCTAATATTTTAACGAGCCGTCATGGCACCGTTAAAAAATATATTACGTGGCACCCAAAAATTGACGTGGAACTATATAACGTTAGTAATCCAACGTGGATCTTTTTTTTTATGACGTGGTTTATTTTTTACAGATATGGACGCCACGTATACAATAAAAATAATAAAAAATTATAATATTATCAAACAGTTACATAAATTGCATTTTTTCATTTTTTTCTTTCCTCCCTCATCCTCGGCATCATCTTCACCATCCTTTTCTCAGTGGGTTCCTCGTGGGGAACCCAGTTCGGGTTCCTGCACGGAACCCAGTTCTGGGCTCTTACGCGAGGAACCCAGAAACTGGGTTGCTGGCACAGGAACCCAGAGTTGGGTTCTTGCGCGGGAACCCAAAAACGGGTTCTTGCGCGGGAACCCAAAAACGGGTTCCTGCGCAGGAACCCAAAAACTGGGTTCCTTGCGCAGGAGCCTAGAAACTGAGTTCCAACCATTTTTCTTTTTGATTTTTTGATTTCGAATATATTTATCTTAGCTTCTGATTTTATGCAAAGCAATTTGGAATAAATTTTTTGTTGGAAATGTGAGTTTTTTTGCCTGGAGATTGTTTCTGAATAGGTTGCCAATTTGAGTTTTTTTTTTCGTTTTTTGTGGGAAAGGAGTAGAAGATGCTTATCATGTTTTTGTGCAGTATTCATTTACTTATAATTGTGTGGATGAAAATCTTAGTTTGGTAGGCATTCATGTGAAATTAGGTTCCACGAAAAACTCAGAACCTGGGTTTCGCGAGGACGAGAATGAGGATGGTGAAGATGATGCCGGGAAAGAAGAAAATAAAGAAATTAAAATTAATGATGATTTAATTATAACACATTATTAAAAAAAGTCCAACATTGGATTAATAAATGTGACATAAAGTTCTGGGTTCCTGGTTCCATGAGGAACCCAGGAGGATGAAGAGGAAGATGGTAAAGATGATGCGGGAAAGAAAAAAATGAAAAAATGAAAAATAATTATGGTTTAATTATGCCATATCATAAAAAAAAAAGTCCACATTGGATTATGTTACTGTTTGATGCCACATATTACAATTTCTAACGGTTATTAACGGTGCCGTGACGGTCCGTTAAAATATTGGGTTTTTCACGGGTTTTGAAAAGTGGAGGGTGTGAATAGGGAGAAAAAATTCTGAAAGGTGTTGACCATGGAAAAAAAATAAATGGAGGGTGCAAATAGGGGCTTTGACCTATAAGTTATGTTTAGTTTAGTTTTCAAGTATTTCAATTTTTTTATATTATTTATGTTTTATAAGTTTAATTTTTTTTAAAAAAATTTAATTTTTTAATTTTTTTAATTTTAAAAAGATCTTAAATATTAAATTTTAAAAAACTTTAAATTTTTACTTTTTAAAAACTTTTTTTTACTTACTTTTACTCTTTCTAAAAGTATTTTTAAATTTTTTTTTTCAATAAAAATTTAAACTTATGAAATATAAATAATGTAGAAAGAACTTAAATACTTACAAATTTCACTAAATATTTTTTTATAAAGATTAAAATCAAGATCTTAAGTTTGATATATATATACTCTATTCAGTGTAACAAGTGGTGTGGGTGCGGGTGCGGGTAAGTCTGTTTATTTAATCCATATGTGTCCCAAGAGGTGATTGATCTCTTGTTAGAAGATAATTGTCTTAAGTTATCCTGAATTCTATGTGGTTAA